AACTTGGTGTGGCCTTAGGCGAGACCAAAATAAAATCGAGATTCCCGGGCAGGACCCATGTGAAATTGGTGCGGGCGGGCGAATTTTTATTTGTTTTCCTTTGTATTTATGCATGGAATACTCATCTTTTTTTTTACAGTATTTGCTGGTAATTTTTTACAGACAGACCACAGGGACGCGCGGCTTATCCGTGCAAAGTTTTTTTTGTACTTCGGCCAACGACAGCCATCGATCAGGGAGTCGTACAAGCCCAGGTTTGCGTGACTCCACGTCACAGATCTACTCACACCACCAGTACTGTACATGTACATGGATATGAACTGCTCAAAAAAATGACTTCGGCTCGATTTTGGTGCGGGAGGGGCCGGGAATCTCTATTTTTGTCTCACGTAAGCAAAACTGAGATGTTTGCAAACATCCCGGCTCAATAGTGGGCGGAGGAAATTGGCTATTTACTTTTCAGCTCCAGTGCTTATCACTTGAAGTGATACCTTTCACCACTGCTGTTATTCGCACCGTTTAAAATTTAAATTTACGTCATGATGCAATCTTTCACGACTGCTGTCATTTACACTTTTGCTTTTCTGGGTATTTAAACTAGTATCCAGATTCCACTCATTACTGTTTTCTGATGATCGTAAAAACACTTTTTTTCATCCTCTTATTAATAATATTAATAAAAGGCTCTTATCATTATTTGAACTAGCTCTGCCTTTCGGTATTGAGCACTCTATTGGACAGCCTGGAACCTCTCTGTTTTACTTCTCAATATGATTGTGCAGACTCCGCTATATCCATACATCTTCACGACACACTCTTCAAGCGGTCTCTGGGCTATCCCAATCACGGAAGAAGAATAAAGTCACCCGAATTTTCAGGCAAGGCCCATCTTCAGGAAACCCTGGCCATATACATGTATTATTGAAAAGAAAATACAAAAAAAAACCCACATGGCTGTCAACACACACTGACACAGGCACAAGAGCAAGACAGTAGTATTTGGCGCGCTAAAGCACACTATTTTTCTTTTTTTTTTAACTTTGTTTTGTACACTCCTAAGTGTGCGGGAAAGTTGCAAACGGGAAAAGTCTGAAGAAAAAATTGACTGTTACCACCAGGACTCGAACCAGGTTCCCTCGCTTATGGCCAAGATATGGTGTAGTCGTCATCCATGCCGTGCTCGTTCAACATCGAAAGCAACACAAGAGCACACGCACAGGGGCACGGATACAGGCTCGCGCTCACATGCACGCATGTCATCCTCAACACATACATGTACATATGTACATACCGTCGTATTGTCAGTGCCCGCCGCCGTCTCTCTCTCCGCTCTACCCACACCACCCATCATGGCCAAACGTTGACTGTACACACACACACACACACACACACACACACACACACACACACACACACACACACACACACACACACACACACACACAGTAAAACCTGTGACTAACGACCACCCCTTGGGGCCAGAGAAAGCGGTCTTTAGTGCCAGGTGGTCCTTAGTTAGAGGCTTGCATCGCACAACCACACAGTAAAACCTGTGACTAACGACCACCCCTTGGGGCCAGAGAAAGCGGACTTTAGTGGCAGGTGGTCCTTAGTTAGAGGCTTGCATCGCACAACCACACAGTAAAACCTGTGACTAACGACCACCCCTTGGGGCCAGAGAAAGCGGTCTTTAGTGGCAGGTGGTCCTTAGTTAGAGGCTTGCATCGCACAACCACACAGTAAAACCTGTGACTAACGACCACCCCTTGGGGCCAGAGAAAGCGGTCTTTAGTGGCAGGTGGTCCTTAGTTAGAGGCTTGCATCGCACAACCACACAGTAAAACCTGTGACTAACGACCACCCCTTGGGGCCAGAGAAAGCGGTCTTTAGTGGCAGGTGGTCCTTAGTTAGAGGCTTGCATCGCACAACCACACAGTAAAACCTGTGACTAACGACCACCGCTTGGGGCCAGAGAAAGCGGTCTTTAGTGCCAGTTGGTCCTTAGTTAGAGGTTTGCATCGCACAACCATGTATGAATGTGAGACCGTCCGTGCCTGGCAAAGTGGTCTGTATCACCAGGCTGGTCGTTAGTCACGATGGTCTTTAGTTGGTTTTGCTGTACGTATTCCTAGGTGAGTTCCACTGCAGCACCATTACCGGTATGCCCCGGAAACCCTGACGGCGACTGATGACGGGGCTTACCATGTGAGGTCCTGTCCCTTCTGCCATCGTCCACTGGGCGCTTTCACCGTGTGGCCTGAACGAACAATTATACAGCAAAAACAAAAACAAACACAAAACAGCAAGCCATTAACATGACAATAACTAGAGTTACGACTGCAAACAGCTTGCATGCTAGGAAAGGCTAAAGATGAATAATTGCTTATTGCAGTAGGAAAACAACATCTACAGCGGTCCCCTTATAACCCAGCACCATTTGTGCCACGGAAATGCTGCTGGATTAAGAAATCTGATCTACTGCTGCGATGCACATGAAGATGACATCCTGGTTTCTAAAAATTATCCTGGTTTACAGAGGGTGGTACTGTAAATCATGAATAAGTAAATCCAACAAGTTAACGAGTACAGATTTGTCGTTATATTAAAATTCGTTAGTAAAAGTTGTACTTTTCTGTAGTACAGTACTGTACTGACTGTCCTGACTATCTTTTTATTTCCCTAATACGGTAAAATCCCGCCAGAGCGCCCCCGTCTCTCCCATCCGCCCCTCCCCGACTTTTTGTCAGGGACGTGATTGATTGTATCCTCGTATGACTTTGTCACAGTCTGCGATGCCGTACTGTACTGCAGACGCATGCTCAACCCCGTTGGAAATGTACGCAACAGTGGCCACCCTCTTGACCAGGGATCGCACAAACCCTTGCATTGAGTTTTGATGGGTCTGTACGACTCCTGGCTTTGACCTTTGGTCGGTGTACGAGATGCACGAACATTTTTCGTAGGGTGAGCACTTTTTCATGTAGTACTGAATGCGGCAAGTAGGACTCGCACATCCGCCCCTCCCCACCTGAAGCGTCGAGGAGGTAGGGGCGCTCTGGCGGGATTTTACGGTAGTTGCTGTTACACTCACTAATCCTTATGCACAGATATACAGCGTTCCCTCACTAGTGGGACCATTGTTACTAGGATAGGGCCTGTTTTGGACTTCCCACTCTAAATAAAGAATACACACAACAAACAACAACAAAATGTCGTCGTCTGCATGCAGGGCAGATCATGCGTGCAATCTTGATACATTGTACCAAGAGTCCATAACCCCAAGAGTGTGCAGCTCTGTACACGAGGATCTGTGCGGCGCAATTCCAACATTACGTCGAAAATGACGTACACGTTCGTTGCGCTTGTACTACTCCCTGGTTCCAAGCACTGCGGAATGCGGAGTCTTGTACAGGCATTACGTAATGTTGGAATTCCGCCGCGCAGTGGGCCTACAGCAGCCAGACCCCAGGTGCACACTCTTGGGGTTATGGACTCTTGATTGTACGATGTACTGCATTGCACAGGTGCATGAAACAGTAACAGTTACTGCTACTTGTGCACTTTAATAGTATTTGTGTTCTTTTCGCGTTCGACGGTGGACAGACTGTAAAGTAACGTTGCTTGGCAAGACGACGGTTGTTGTTTGGTTCACTGGCTGGAGTGTCGTAGCAGTAGTTTTGGTTTTCATTCCTCCCGACAATCATGTCGATCATGATTTTTTTCTTGCCCCGCATGACTGACGAGTCAGTGAACGATGACAACGAGAAAGCAATGCAGGTCGGCGAGGCTGCTGCAGCGGCTGAGATATCGTCGACGGAGGTTGTTGGGCGAAAGCCCAAGAGGACGGCGATGACATCCTACGATGAGGAGGTCCGGACCAAGATTGGACGACATGCCATCCAGTTTGGTAACAAGAGTGTCGTTAATAAGTTTTCGAAGGAGCTCGGACGTCCTGTCCCAGAGGCAACTGTGCGAAATTTAAAACGCAATTTGCAGACCCAGGTTCAGCAGGGTAAGAACTTGGCTGATGTGAGCGTTGTTCTCTCCGGCTCTCGTGGCAGGCCGCTTCACCTACCTCAGGAGATCGAAGATCTCACAAAGCAACTGATACGAAGTTTGCGTGGCTCTGGGTCGCCAATCAGCTCGGCAATTGTTGTAGCAGCGGCGAAGGGCATCGTCTGCCATAAGAATCCCTCTCTGCTGAAAGAGAACGGCGGACGGGTTGACCTGAACAAGTCATGGGCCGTGTCTTTTATGGATCGTCTTGGCTATGCCAAGCGCAAGGGAATGAGAACTACCCGGAAGACGCCCCCAGATTTCCCTGCTGTAAAAGCTGAATTTCTGAGGAAAGTCGCTAGCATGGTGGCAGAGCACGACGTTCCTCCGTCGATGGTGATCAATTGTGATCAATCCGGAGCGAAGATGGTCCCAGTCAATAAGTGGACAATGGCGGAGCAGGGCAGTCGGCAGGTGGACATTGTTGGTCTCGACGACAAGAGAGAGATGACTGCGCTGCTCGGCGTTTCTGCTGCAGGTCAAGTGTTGCCTCCTCAGCTGATTTACGCTGGGAAGACGACCCACTGTCATCCTTCTGGGAATGTACCGCCTGAGTGGAATGTAACATATTCCGACAATCACTGGTCCAACGATGTCACTATGTTGGAGTCTATTGACCGAGTGCTCGTCCCGTTCTTCGCTAGTGAGCGTGAACGTCTGGATCTTGCGAGCGCGCAGTGCGGCCTCTTCATCTTGGACGTCTTTGCTGCACTGCTGGCTGCACCGGCCTGCTGCAGCCGCTTGATCTGACCGCCAGCGAGCCTTTCAAGCGCCACCTAAAGAACCAGTTTGGCGACTGGTACGCGAAGCAGAAATGTATCATATTTATTTTACAAAAACATGTACTGGTGATAGTATGCTAGTACCGTATTTCCTCGATTAATAGACCCGGTCTTTTGTTTTTTGAAGAGGGTTGGACCCCCGGTCTCTTATTTGGGCATGGTCCATTATTTGAGCACGGTCCACTATATTTCCATCGGCACATCGCTGGAAATGGTGGATTTTTAACACGTCATAATATAGAAATATAGAAGTTCTATATTATGACGTGTTAAAAATCCACCATTTCCAGCGATGTGCCGATGAAAATATAGTGGACCGTGCTCAAATAACGAAAGAAAGCACTAGCCACTACAAAAATTGTAGTTGCGCAACCTAAAATCGCGTCCTTTTTGATCCACCACATGCTTTCTTAGTGCGCATGCGCAAAGCGATGAACTCGAATAAGAAACCGGGTCTCTTATTCGGGCATGGTCTACTATTTTTCCGTGAGGCCTCTAGGAGGGTCTACTATTTGAGCATGGTCTATTATTCGAGCATGGTCCATTAATCGAGGAAATACGGTAATCACATTCAAAACATGCAACGATTTGTTTACTGCGTCAGTCTGAGAAAAGTACAGTAGTTTATAAAGTACAGGGTACCTCACTTCAAACTCTCCAACTACGGTCTCTTCGCTGCATAAGTTCACTTCACTTCCAAAATAAATAAATAATATTAGATATAAATGGAATGCACCAAATTTTCGGGCATGGCCCATCTTCAGGGTGAAAAAAACCATTCAACGGTGCATTCCATTTATATCTAAGTGAAGTGAACTTATGCAGCGAAGAGACCGTATTTGGAGAGTTTGAAGTGAGGTACCCTGTAATGTGTGAATGGCTGCAATGGAGTCTGCGAGTGCTTAGAAAAGTTTATAAAGTGCTGGATCAAAGAGGGACAACTGTACGTTCCCAGACATCTACATTCTACACAAATCCGAACACATGATTATTTTAAACAAAGGATATTTCTTTTGGGGGAAAAAAAGTTTACGCTTTATCTTATCTCCGCTTGTCTGTGTGCAATCACACATAAAAAACTGTCCATAAAGTCGCTCCTGTATTGGTTGGGCTGCCCTCTAGTGATGCGTGCAGTTGCAAGCAGCAGCCAGTTATGCTAAGGGCACGTTTGGCTGGTACGAACTAGAACAGGATTCACCAGAACAGCGCGTTTGGTAGGGACTGCACCTGTTTTGGGTCGGCCAGAACATGTTCTGCTTGCTCCGGCCTTGAGGTCGGAGCAGACCGAGCAGCTTCACTTTTTCACAGTGAAACCAGGCGGGAACATCGATTTTGGTCCCAAATGATCACGTGCATACGCTTTGATTTTGGGGTTAGACTCGTCGTACCGTGCACATGCACAGTGACCATGGTGACCCATACACATTTTGAAGAATGCACCAAGTTTGGCATATTTTTCACAAAAATATGCTCTGTTTTTGGAGTACCGTTTGGTTGGCATGAGGCTGCTCCATGTGCACCAGCTGTTCGATCCTGTTCTAGATCGTACCAACCAAACGCACCCTAAATGCCTCCACACAAAGTCTGTTTCAAAATGCAACATGTTTTCACCTCTCATCAACAAAAAAAACCATGAACAGAGGCAAAACGTGGATACGTGGTAAGGCTAACTTGCTACCTGTCAGTGAGCCTCCGCCGCCGTACTTAACTTTAACTGTAAGAGAATTGCTAGGAGTAGTCACTGTTACATCTGAAAGTTTTGCATTGGAATACAATTCTCAAAATTTCCCTTCAAAATAGCTGCAGTACTTCTCTGCTTGTACTGTACGGCCAACGATAAACACAAGCTTGCCATTCCAGAGGTAGAGATTTGCCGTAAGATACCCTCGAGGGCAATACAAATCGACTCAAACTCTCGCTGAGATCACAACCATCTCGTGCGTTCAATTGTTATTACTAGTACTCAGAAAGAGAGACAGAAAGAGAGAGATGGAGAGACAGAGAGACAGAGACACAAAGAGACAGAGAGAGAGACAGAGAGAGATAGAGAGAGACAGAGAGAGAGAGTGACAGAGAAAGAGAAAATGAAAGACAAAAAGAAAAAGAAAGAGAAAGAAAAAGAGAAAGAGAAAGAGAAAGACAGAGACAGAGAGAGAGACAGAGACAGAGACAGAGAGAGAGAGAGAGAGAGAGAGAGAGAGAGAGAGAGAGAGAGACAGAGAGAGAGAGAGAGAGAGAGAGAGAGAGAGAGACAGAGAGAGAGACAGAGAGAGAGACAGAGCATAACATATATTACAACACACCTGAACTCAATGTAGCAGAAGAGGAGTCCAGTGAAGAGGACTGGTTAGCTGTCCCAGGTGTATCACGGGTCACCATGTAAGAACATGGCTCGACAGCTATAGAACGTATTGCTGCAGATGTAGGCTGTTCTGGAGATGATTTTTCTGCAGGGGAGGCCATTGCAGGTAGATCGGACACCACTGAAGCTGTGTGCACAACAAGTGCATCGGTTATTGATGTCATAGCTACTGACTCCTCACCAGGAGGGAGCTGAGAAACATCATCAACAGAGTCTTCTGATTGGGCTGAGTCACCTTTAGGAACAAAAGACAGTAGAATAGACACTAAGTTCCAAACCATGAAGTCATATGAGAGAGAG